CTGCATCGGCAGCGTCATGACTAGTGAGAAGGCTGGGGCCAATAACTACTTGTAAACGCGGTGTGAGCGAGTGTCAGGGGACAAGGCTGAAAGGCGTCGGCTAGGCCGTCTCAAACATAGCAACGATGAAGTCGTTATGACCTCGTCATGAAGTAATTCCGCCAAAGCACGGTCCTGTTTCGCCATGGCAATGCTCGTGCGGGGTGATCAAATGCACTATGATCCTGACGCGATATCCATAGTCTGGGGCGCGACTGGCATATACCGACCCGCATGCACTTCTCGTGTGCAGTGGATCCAGCATCCGATCGCACTACTGCGAGGTGATCTGCCAGGAACGGTTCAGGCGATCCAGTGGCGAGCTACTCTGTTGATTGCTCCAAGCATATCCGGACGGCGAGTAGCCATCATTGCAGGTTGCACGGCGGTAGCGAGTGCATCGTGCCTCGCAGTTCTTTTAGAGCGGTGTGAGCAGGCTACTGTCGTGCGTAGCAAGTGATCAGAGGCGTGCATTCGTGAAACTCATGCCATGCATGTCATGATGTGGGGAAGAGACAAAGTTCACGCTAGGATTTTTCGTGACCAGTCCATTACACGAGCTCACGTGAGGGTATGCGACCACTCTACGCGAGAGTGATGCGCACATCTACATGAAGAGCGTGGTCGAGGCTCAGGACGTTTGCAGCTACTGAGGGGTAACCAGCGAAAAAATTGCAAAATTTTATGACCTACGCAGGGATCGCTGGGAAGATGTTAGGAGACGGTAATCGAGGAGGGAGCGAGGATCGAACGTGCAACCTGCAATCTCTTGATTCGTAGTCAAGCGCCTTGCCATTGGGCCAGCAGGCCAATCCCAAGACGCATGTCGGGATAACATATTATACACAAGGACGTAATTATGAGCCCCTGGACGGAAAATTGATGACTGTTCGTAAAACGTGCCATCTTAGAGTCTAAATGGTGTGCGACTTCTAGCAAGATGCAGTGTGTGGCTTACGATAGTAGTCTATCACGGGAAACCCCGTCTCCACGCTCTCACTGCTCGTCGTTTCTGCAACATCTCCTTGGTCGACACCAACGGCGCAGCCTTCAGCGCCTCGCTCTACGCCAGCCTACCACTTGACTCCTCAGCAGCGGGCCGGTAGGTGTCAGATCCATGCTCCTAGATGATTGCGGCGCAGCGCTCGAATAACAGCGTCCTGAGAGCCTTCGAAGTCGGAGATATTCCGTTCCAATGCCACAGCTACAGTCATGAGTCCACGAAATGCATCCCCTGCGCCTGTATATTGGGTGTTGATTTGCGCTGTAGATCTGCACTGCGCTATCAGAACAACACGGAGATGAAGCGCGGCAATGTTCGAGTTAAGACAAAATGCATTAGTTCTAGCACTGCAAGTGCAAGTCAATGCATTCTGATGAAGTAGCAACCCAGCAGAAGTATAGGTTTACTCCATAGCCAACGCCTCGCTCAGAACGCAGCACAAGTACATCAACTTTATGACACTTCCATGCGCATCCTCTTGTCACCGTCGATAGGTGTGTCGATGTCCATATCGTCAGCACCTGCGAACGCTTCTTCGTCGTCTGCGACATCTCGACTCCGTTTCAAACCCTTCATCTTCCTTGTCTGCAGCTGTGCCAGATCTTGCTTGCCGACGTGGATGCGACCGATCTTGTCACCGATGATATCCGTCTCGATGTTTTTCTTCGTCTTGGCCTGCAGGAGTACATTGTTAGCAAAATTCCCCCTGACGCCTGTCACACAATAGCAGCTTACCTCTGTGCTCTTCGGCTTCCGCATCGCCTCCTTCAGCATATCAGGATCTGCCTCCTTCACTCTGCCCACCCTGAAGTCCAGCCTGGGTCCCATCTCCTCAAGCTCCACCTTCGGCAGATTCGAGTTCGTCTTCTTCGTCCGTATGAGATAGCACCGCATCCGGATCATGGGCTTTACCCCGCCGTTCTCGTCTTCCTCGACCGAGAAGTTCATGATGTACTGCAAACCCTCCACATCTAACTTCTCCACGTCCGGTCCCTTGAACATGTCGAGGAACATCGACTTCGCAAGTGTATATGCATTTGCTGTTGGACTATCGAACGCACTGCCCGAAAACGACAGCAGAGGCTTCAGTCCCACTCGTGCCTTCTCGTTCTTGAACTGCGACAGTGTCCGTACAGTCTCGGGATCCACAAGCAACTCTAGCATATCCAGTATCTTCGAGTCAAACAAGCGCACCAGGGTTAAGCAATGCGGTCGCTTCTTTGCGTGACTTGCATAGACCATGAAACTCGCATCGTTCTTCTCGCTGAAGAACTCCAAGCTCGTCGCATCTTCGAAAGGGTGTACAGGATTCTTCTTGCTGAATTTGACGGCCAGTGGTCGCTTCAACGCATGAAGATCTGTGAGAACTAGCTGGACGACCTCAGATGTCGAGCTGTACTTGAGGAATAGCGTCGTTCGAGGGTTCTCGGTATTCTGAGGAGCTTTGTTGTCCAAGAAGCGCTTCGTTCGCGCGTTCTTGGGCTTCACTTGCCGGATTGGAAGCATCGTTGCGGTATTGCCAACGCTCGTGTGCTAGCATGTGATCGTTCTTCGCCTCGAAAATTGTAAGTCCGCGAAATCTTATCAGATCTTCGAGCGGCCGGCAGGCGCGCGGGCCGCTCGATTAGTCACCGCGCCTTCACGTGCCACAACATGCGAACGGACTTCTTTGTTTGCTCGTCGATCCTCAACATAGGCTCCTCCATTCTCGCGCATCACGGAATCTGTATTAGCATCAACCGGAATGGCCGACGAGGCGGCAAAGCTGCAGGTGCAGTACGACTCATTGCAAGCGCGACTCCGGCTTGCGAAAGAGGGTAGACTGCAATCGCACTCCTCACCAGATCATCACTATGGTCGTCAGCCGTATCGCGGCGCCGGAAGTGGGCGAGTTGCTCGACCGCGCGCGTTCCCGAATAAGAAGCTCGTACTAAATGAGCCAACTACATCGAACCACTCCGACACCAATACCACTCCACCGATCGCGAGGCAGGATATGGACCCGACATCGACGAATCTGCGCGTGAAGTCGACTCCAGCTCCCTCGCCCGCTGTGCTCACTGCGAAACCCAATCATACTACGTCAGTGGCAGACAGTGCAACCACTGGCATCAAACGGGAGATAGTCGTCGAAGGCATTCGATTTCGCATGAAGGAGGATGGAAGCAAACTCCATAGGGTGGACGGTGAGGGCAACGACAAATACGATCAATCTTTGGGACATCACGAACTAAATTCGACAGATCCTCTCAACGCAGCATTGACTACTCCGAAACAGGTCTTCATTGCAGGCATCGAGTTCCTACGCTCCAAGAGCGGGAATCTCCTGCGCAAGACAGCCATCAATCCCTCCGCCCGGTATGACACCTGCAGCTCCTCAAGGACTGCATTTCGGAGCTTACAAGACATCAACTTTAGGCCTGCCCACAGCACGAAACCCCAGTGCATCAACTTCACGAAGAACGGTATTTACCCACGATTGCACCGATCCATAGCGTGTACAACGATTTGGCCGAAGCGATCTCTGCCAAGCTCGCCGGTGAGCGTAGCTCATGATAATCTGACTTCTCTCACAGGTACCTGCTACGACGGACCAAAGTGCAAGTACACTCATGACCCGAAGAAAGTCGCCATCTGTAAGACGTACTTCCGCACTGGCGACTGCGCCGACGGCACACGCTGCGACCTTTCGCACAAGCCGACCTACGAGCGTGTCCCTGCGTGCAGTCATTTTCTGAACGGCAACTGCACGAAT